CGAATTAAAAACTGGCCAATGCACGAGCCCGGCCAGGTGGCTATCTATTGATCTACAAAAATATACAAGAAAAGATTCAGAATTTCACACAAACCGGAAAATCAACATTGTCAGTAGCACTCATAACATTGTTCGTTTAGTTGAGGTGTTATTTCTAATACTGCAGACCGTTTGATCTTCAGGAGACTTCAAGTATTTGGTTTTAAAAAGAGACATTCTGCCTCTTCTAGGTCATTTAGATCTCTGCACAGTTGAGGTGAATGATAACCATGTGCTACTCCACTGAGACATACACACAAGCTGATACACCTTCATGGCCTCTTAGGCTTCTCTCACAGGTCCATGCTGGGTAAGGCCTTGTGGGCAGCTGATGGGAGCTGGATAATGTGAAGTAAGAGTTTAGGAAAAGAGACAGAAGTCAAAGAGAAACTGTGGGAACATTGGTGGTCTGCTGTTAAACACAAATCACTACAATTATTTATAACAGTGTTCAGATTAAAGTCCAATTTCTACTGAAAATAAAGGAAGGGTTAGCGGTAGAACCAAAACCAATTTTAAAGGATATCATGTTCTCCTGTTGAAGATGGTTGAGAAGTTTCTCCACTGGTGTGTAGCGTCTTAGCGTTGTGGCTGAGCCCACCATCAGCAGCTTGTGTTTGGCGCGGGTAATGGCTACATTCAGGCGACGCCAGTCCTTTAACAACTCTCCTAACTTTAAATAGACATGGAAGAAAGACTCTGGTCGGGTTTCTATTCACTCGCTTAGATGAGAAAAAAAAGGCGATGAAAAGAGAAGTACTTACGTTTCCTTCCTCTGCCGTGCTCCTGACAAAAGAAAGAATAATCAGACTTTTGTCCCGTCCTTGGTATCTATCCACTGTGTTCACCTCCACACCAGTGAATGCAGGCGACTGCAGCAGAGCCAGAATTGTCTTTAACTGCTGCCTGTAGGGGGCGATAACACCAATATCGCTGGGCTTACACCCTGCCTGAAAACAAAAAGAATAAACACAGATTAAAATGAGTACCAACTACCAATAATTGATATAACTTTTAAACTATCTATTATTAATTATGGGGGATTGTATTAAAATAGGTAATTCATTATGTCTTAAGTAGCTCATAAACTTGGAGACTGGTGTACTTTTATGAGAAGTGAAAGCAGAGTGTGTATGAGGGCAGCTTCGGTGTGATTGCTTATTCCTCCTTGTTCCACTGATTCTAGTGCAGGCACCTGAAATGAACCAGTAGAGATGAAGAAAATCAAACATCTTTCCACACACACCAGGTCTGTCAGACGTGATTAAACTAAACCAACTTAAAAACTTAAAACTTAAAACAAACTTTAAAAAAAAAAAGTGTCTCACACAATAACCCAATCTTATTTTAATTACTTTTTTCCAGTTAGTGTACCTGCTTTATTTTATGTTTACAACCTCAACACAATTCAAATTATAAAATGTTTGAAGTGTACGCTTTACTGTACTAACCATCGAGCAGTCCAGGAAGCAAACAGGATTGCTCGGCAACAGTGTAGACTGTATCCACGACAGGTCATGCTGGGGATGAGCCTCAGAGTACGAACTCAGCTCGGACTGGACAGACAGCAG